AAGTCAGATCTAAGTAATTGGGAAAATGTTAGTTGCTCATGGGTAGGCCGAGCTAATATAAAAAAACTAACAATTCTACCTAAGCTAATTTATTTATTCAGTGCCATACCAATCAAACTATCAAAAAATATTTTATAGAGCTAGAAAAAATAATAACAAGATTCATTTGGAATAAAAAAAGGTTCAGAATATCAAGGGAACTAATGAAAAGAAATACAGGGGAAGATGGCCTAGCTATTCCAGATATTAAATTGTATTATAAAGCAACAATCAGGGGCAGCTAGGTGGCACCTAGATAGAGCTCCAGCTTGGAGTCAGGAGGACCTGAGTTCAAATCCAGCCTCAAACACTTGAAACTTACTAGCTGTGTGACCCTGGGCAAGTCACTTAACCCCGATTACCTCACCAAAACAACAAAAAACCCAAAAAAATAAAATAAAAATCAAAGCAGCAATCATCAAGACTACTTGGTACTGGCTAAGAAATAGAGCGGTAGATCAGTGGAATAGATTAGGTATGCAATGACTATAGTAATCCACTATTTGATAAACCCAAAGACCCCAGCTTCTAGGATAAGAACCCACTATTTGATAAAAATTTCTGGGAAAACAGACAATTCAAATTGTTAGGGAATTTTCCCTTATATCAAGCTGAAATTTGCCTACTGTTGCTACTGATCTTTCCTCTGGGGCTAAAGAAAACAAGTCTAAATCCTCTGCTACTTGGCACCCTTTCAAATATTTTGACATAACCATCATGCCTCTCCTAAGCCTTCTTTTCTCTAAAATAAATAAATAGTTCCTTCAGTGTATCTACATATTGCTATATGAGGCTTTTCACTATCCTGGCTGCCATCTTCTGGACGCTCTCAAGCTTATTAATGTCCTTCCTAAAATGTCACAACCAGAAATCAAAAGGATTTCCAACTAAAGTGGATGGAAAAGGGAGGAAAATGTTTATGTAGAGCCACCAATCAAAGCACCATAGACAGCAACTATAATGAAGGGAAAATGGCATTTGAGACACCTGGAAGTCACAGGAGACAAAATCCAAGAAAGGAGTCAGTAGTAAAACATATAGTCTCAAGTGTCTTTACACAAATGTCCAAAGATTAAGCAACAACCAAAGGGAACTAAAGGTCCTAATACAAGGAGGCAAACTCTACCTCAAAGGTGTAATAGCTATCCTCTTAAGGAAATCAGTCTTGGGGAGACATTCCAGTCATTTGAGAAAACCAACTCTTAGAAAAGCTTCAAGCAATTTTTGGCAAGGAGAGAAGAGATATCTTTATCCTCTTCCTCCCTTAATCTCTCCCTTTCCCAGTCCATGGCAGGCAGTATCCAGTGAATCAGAGTCCATTGGTGAGTTGAGACACAGCACATAGATAAGCAACCTATAGAGTTGCCTTGCAGAGTTGCCATACCCAGAGGACAGCAGCATGAGGACACTATGAGAAGCAACGTTAGGGCTCTTTAGCATCAGATACAAGGATTGCCCTGGCCCATGTGTTCCCTAGGTATGTGCTTCTCTCCTAGTATACTCTACACATGTACCCACTCTTCCTATTGACAGTTTATAAAAAAAAAATTTATGGGAGAGTAGACCCTAGGTGCAGGTTTGAGGAGGAAATATTTTGGTGCTACTGTTTATGTTATGCCATTTCAGTAAATGTCTTTGCTTTTAGTTAATTGTATCAGCTGGCTCATAATTAAATGTTAACACAACAGTGCTAGCATTTGAGCCATAGTTTCAGAAGAATGGGCTCATGGAATAACTTGAACCCAGAGTAGTGGTTACCTGGGGACCAGCAAGTATAAGCTGAAGGGATAGCCATGAAGTGAATGCTACATACTTTATTAGAAATTTGAGATAAATGTTGGCCTTCATTTCCACTGTACCTTATAAGTGCTCACAGGTTCATACGATTTAGAATTAAAAGGAAACCTGGAAAATCCTTAGTTCAACTCATTGTTTCTTTCCTTTACATACTCAAATAAATCTCTGTTTCCCTATCATTATTAGTAGATCAATTACTACTCCATTCCTGGCACCTGAACAGTCTCTGACTTTCTTCAAATAAAGCAAATTTCTTTGCCTCTTTTTATACTGTATTAATGCCTTCTTTCACACTATATCTTATACCTAACACTCACTTTGATTTGTCATTCAGCAATCCAATACTCTTTCCCGCCCAAAAAAATTTTAAGTCCAAATACAGCTAGCTTACCTTGATTAGTCACTGAAATAAAAAATAACAGGCAATGTTGTACTCCAATACTCTTCTCAGTTCTGGTCCACTTTTAACAAAATTGCAATCAGCAAACAGAATAAGGTAATTTTGGAAAGATTTTAGTAGGATTTTTACTAAGCATCCTCAGCTGCTTAAGCATGGTATTAAGGTAGCCCTGTTTTCTTACATACTATATCTGCAAACTGCAATCCTTGCCAGATCCTATGAAGCTGGAAAGGCTTGTGTATAGTATGTGACAGCTTGCTTATCTGTCATCTAAGAACCAGCCAAATTAAGTTTAGATAGGTTCAGCATAAGAGTTCATTATGATTTTTTTTTATCAGCCACAACAGCTCTCTATTCTATTGAGTGCAGAGAAAGCTGAAACAAAAGTAACCTTAGCTGGACATTTTTAGAAATGAGCTTAATTATTTTAGCCTGAGGCCATAATTTATCCTTGGTTTTCTCTCACTCCCCATAATCAAAACACAGACAGATGGAACAATGGGACACACAGGCATGATATACCTTCCTGGAAACCAAATCAATCAGGGCAGAACCAAGGGCAGGAACACAAACTCTCTCAGGGCAATATTAAATGTAATTCTCAAGGCAAGAGAGCTCCCTGAGTCTTATACAAATCTCACAACAAAAACAAAGATTCCTTGTTGACATTTCTTGCTCTAGTAAGAATGCAAAAGCAAGCAGCCAGATCTAGATCAAAACACTGTTGCAAAGTCATCCTTTTTAAAAGATCTTAAATGTTAAACTGACTAGGAGAGACTAGTGGCAGCTAATGAGAACACATCCCTGTTGGAGTGGTTTCCTTATTTGTACTTTATATGAGTTCCTGCCTTCTCATTCCCAGCATTTTTTAGTCACTTCAGTTTTGACTTAGGGGTGAACTATTACTAAATGCACATATGCATAGTGGATCAAATGAGATAATATTCGTAAAGTTCTTGGCACAATGCCTGGAACATAGTAGGTGCTTAAAATAAATGCTTGTTCCATCCCTTCCTGTTTACTATTGTCAAACATCTCTTTGCTTTTGCTTGCCAGCAGTGAAGAGTATTCTTGTTCAGGTTCCAATTAGACTAGACTTTTTAATTTGTATGAATCACTTCGATTTAGAGAAGAGGTTGTGATCTACATTGGTGGAGGGAGTAACTATGTGGATATAATATATATCCTAAGTAGGACCTATTCAAATGAATTCAACAAATGTTTCAAACGATCATAAATTAAGAGCTGGAAGAAATCCTAGAGGTTTTAACCCCTTTGTTTTACATATGACCCAGAGGCTAAAATGACTTTCTTAAGGTCACACAGTAAGAGAAGGAGGTAATATTTGAATCCAGCGCCTCTGACTACATTGCCAAGGATCTTACTAGTTCGCCATTGCAGGTATGACACTGTGGATACAAAGACAAAATATAAAATGTTTGACTGGGGTTTTTTCCCCTAAAGGAACTTACATTTTACTGAAAAAATGTAACATGTACACAAAAAAGTAAGTTCAAAATAGATACAATGTAATACAAAATAACTTCAAGAGGGTGAGCTAGCTAACGAATGGGGAGATGAGGAGAGGCCGCATGTAGGAAGTGAGCTGTGCAATGAAGGAAGCTGAGAGTGGTGAGGAGGGAGTAAATTCCAGATACGGGATGCCATTTGTGCAAAGGCACCAAAGTGAGAGGTTGTGCACGAGGAACAGCTGAGCAGGCCGGCCGGTCTGACTGGACAGTCTGTGAAAGGTAGGTGGGAGTCACGTCTTGGAGGGCTGTAAGTGCCAGGGTGAAGGCTTTACATTGTATCCCAGTGGCAGCTGGCAGACATTTTAGACTGTTGTGTTCAAGGAGTGGCAAATCACTGCTGTGTTTTAGGATTATGCATTTGGTACATTTCAGGGTTTTATGCTAATCATTACTTAGCATCCTCCAGCACTGGGGCAATGCTTTTAATACCCCATGTTGCAGAATAAATAGGTGACGTCTTACTGGGGACCTGTGCACAGCCGGCTAGCAGTTACTTAAAATGCATATTTAAGAAGAAACTGAATCCTGCCTCCAACAGCTCAACAGAGGGATGACCAAACTATGGCCACCAACGTTAATGTGTGCATGTGTACACCTATTTATAATTTCGAGGAGGCTTAGAAAGGAAGGGAAAGGTTTAGGTTTTCAACCAGAAAACAACGAAAAAGCCGAAAAGGGAATTAGAGACCAGCTGGTCCAACTCCCTCATCGTTTTACACGTTACGAAGGGAGGTCCAGACCTTTGCCCAATTTAACGCTACGGAGCAGAGCTCGGTCTTTTTTCCGCCAGGCTGGGGCTGTTTCGGTGGCTCTTCGTTGCCCCGCCATCCTTAATAACTATGGCCTCCCCTTCTTCTTCAGCTCAGCCTGGTCTCTCCCACGCCCAACACGCAGCACACGGCCCCACGCTCCCCGCCCCCTCCTCCCAGCGTGCACTGCCTCCGCCCTTCCCCTCCACTCGACCCTCCTCCTCCGGGCGCGACTGAATGATGCGTGGCGCGGGGCATTATGGTCTCCTGCGCGGCCGAGCCGGCGCAGAAAGGATTGGAGGGGGTGGGGAGTGTAAAGAACAAGGCAGACCAAATAAACACAACGTGAGAGGGGGTGCGCGCAAGCGCGCTCAAGGTAGCGAGGTGGGCCGGGTGGGGAGGGGGCGGCACGCGGCTACGGCGAGCGGAGCGGGGCGGGGCCGCGCGGCCTTGGCGGGGAGGAGGGGAGGTGGGAGGGGGGCGGGTTAGGGGGAGCCGGAGGAGGAGGAGGAAGTGTCATGGCGTCGGGCCGTGGGGCTTCTTCTCGCTGGTTCTTCAGCCGGGAGCAGCTGGAGAACACGCCGAGCCGCCGCTGCGGGGTGGAGGCGGATAAGGAACTCTCGTACCGCCAGCAGGCGGCCAACTTTATCCAAGATATGGGGCAGCGTCTCAATGTGTATCCTTTCTTTTTCATTCCTCCCCCCACCTCACCTTCCACCATTCACCTCCTAATCCTCCCTCTCCCAACCTCCATCTTCCCTGCCCCTTTCCCCGTCCCCGTCGCCTCCCTTCTCATCCCACCGCCTGGGGCCGGCGGCCGAGGCCTGGACGCGGTGAACATGGCGCTGCAGCCGTCGGCCACGCCGTGAGGGGCCCGGTAGGGGCCCCGCTGGGGGAGGCCGGCGCGGGGTGGGGGGGCGCCTGGGGCCTGGGATCCCCGGCCGGGTTTGAAGTTGCGTTGTGTAATCTCTTCGGATGCTCCGCGTGGCGGGGGGGAGGGGGCAGGTTCGCTGGGGGCTCCTGATCCCCGAGAAGCCTTAGCGCGGAACCGGAGGGGGGGCGGGGGAGACTGTTGAGAGCAGAGGCCGGTGCTTGGCGCTTTGAAAGATTTCTCTCCGGGGTCCCCCGAGCATCCAGGTGGCTGGGCCCGGAGGAGACGGAGAGGCTCGGACCCCGAGTGGAATGCACCGAGCCTAGGTTTTATGTTCTTGGGATGGTTTTGAAGTGCTTTGATTTTTGAAGGAAATGATACACACATGCAGCCAGAAATCCTCGTAGGAGAGTTGGCGAGCTGGCATACTTTGAAAAGCTTCGCATTTCTTTCCTCCCACCTCACCCCCCCTTAACAATTTTAAGGGCCTCCTTCTTTCCTGCCCTCTCCTACAAGTTTTCCATTTTGCCTTTTTTTTTGGTCTTTCTGAATGAGGTACTATAGAAGAAAGCACTGAAACATTCCTTCAAGTAAAAACTTGGTGCCAACACTCAAATATTAACTCTGCATCATGTTTTAAGAGGAAAAAGATGATATGATTTACTTCTTTAAAATGTACATTTCCTAAACACTACTTTCCAGCTCCCAACTTACAATAAATACTGCAATTGTTTACATGCACAGGTTTTATATGCACCATTCTTTCACCAAGTTTAACAGAAATGTAAGTACAAATTTTTTTTAACAGCATTTGGCCATATGTTAAAAGTAGTTAAACTTTCAGTTATTTTGTAAAAGGGAAGATTCTGTCAGTGGTTTTACTGATGAACTGGGTATTAATAGTAAATTTATATTTGCAAGTGATGCTTATATTTTGCTTCAAACGGTATGATCATGTTTTCATGTCCATATGTAGAGTATCAGGAATTAGAAGAATTACATCTTAGAAAGCCATATAGTCAGTTACTTAATTGGCAGCAATCCAGTCAAAATTTTATACTTACATATTTGAGTATTTCAGTAAAGTACAAAGTTTAAGTTAAACAAGCCAGAAGTGTATGTGAGTAGTCAGTTGTTAGGAGACTTTGTTTGAAATGTGAGTTGAACTTTGTCATACCAATCAATTCTTTCTCATATTAACTTTGTAATTGATTTTGGAACTGACCGTTTGTTTAAAAAAAGAAAAAAGTAAATGTTGAGGAATATTAATTTGTAAAAGGTCAGTATCTGTGAAATTCATTTCTGTGGTAAACAAAGGATGCCAAATTTCTTTAGCTATTAGGATGACTTGTTACCATTACAAAATACTGGTCAACCAAATGACAAATCTTGCTTCAAACATACCATCTCACAGGTAAATTATAGAACAGGGATACAAACATTTTCTAGCTGACTTTTACACGAAACGTTAGTGTTTAATTTCTAATATGTTATTTATAATTTATGAAAAATAGTTATATAAGATACAGTAGACACTCTTCAAAAGACGTGCTGTGTATGTTGCTTACTATGAAGAAGAAAGTTACCTATCTTTTAGGTGGAATTTTGCACTAGCCATATTCTGTCCTTCCCTTAGTTTTAGTTTTTTGTTCCACCACAGCTTCATAATCTTGTTCTAATGGTAATGATATATCATAGAGGGCTTGATCATCAGTGGATAATCCAAATAGTTGCAACCAAAATAACCTTTTAAAAAAGTTTTTATTAGCATACTCTTTTAATAAATGAAAAAGCGTGATGTTTAAATTGGATTTTTTGTTGTTGTTGTTGTTTAACAATTTATATTAGTCTGATGATCCTTAGCAGTATAATTTGTTTTGCAAAATTCTGATCTGGATATTTTCTAGTGGACTTTGCAGCACCCCCACTTGCATTTTTCTGTTAAGCATCTTTTTTCTTTCTCTGGTATGTTCCCCTTTCTACTCAGGCTCATCTGTCTCAGTTCATATAGTTCTAGTATAGTAGATTTGAGTTAGTAGTAGTGGTAAGATAAAGTTCCGTTGCCAACCTTTAGATTAGGAATTATGAAATTTAAACCTGAAAATCGTTTATATAGGTAGACAAAAATAAATATCAAAATTTTCATAAAGGTGGCCCTAAAAAACACTGTTAGCAGTTACTAATCAAATTGGAGTTTGTAAACCATATGGAAATTATCTATGTAGCTGTAGATGATCTATTTTCTGAGTTAAGTTTGCTTTGCTTTTTGTATTGAAATCAGTTACTGGAAAACCTCTTTGGGGGAGGGGGATGACAATGGTTTCTTCTCATAGTTTGTCTTTATGGCCTGTGTGGTGTGTTTTAAATCAAGCAATTTGTCAGATCTGGTGCCAAGATTCAAAGCTTTGTCCATTTCAGAAGTCTTTTGTGCAGTAGTTGAAAGTACTAGCAACTTCCGTTGTGTTTTTCAGTCTTTACTTAAATGGTATCAAATTGTTACTGCAAAGCTCAGTATCTGGTGTGTCTGACTTTTATTATGAATCAGACTTGACTTTTTGAAACTTCTTGTGTGTGTTAATGTAAATTTTCAAGTGTTATTTTTTTTACTCTGAAAAGTGTTAAAAGATAACACAATACAACCTTCATATAATAGTTTCAGAATTTTTTTGCATTTGCTGTCATTATAACATCAAAAGTGGTTTTAATATTTATGTTGATGCCCTAGCATCAAATGTACAACCTTACTTTTTTATCTTTTTTTTCCTATTCTTTTAGGGTGAAGGGGGTGGTCTCAAATTGAATGTGAGTCACTTTTAAATTCATACTCCCCCAAATCGTCAGGAAAATTTTGCTCAATAATAGGGTTATAATTGAAGACTAACTAAATTTTAGGAAATTACAATTCTTTAGGATATTCAGCTGAATGAAAACTAGTTCCTTTTAGTAAACAAACCCAATATAGAATGTTACAACAGTAATAGCAGATTTAAAGCATAGTCAGTAAGATATTTTATATTTAAACAAAAATAATTTATTTGTGGCATGCAATATTTCCATTTTAAATCCGTTAACATAAAATTAGAAGTTAACACATCAGGAAAGTGTGATGTTATATTCTGTAGAAAAAAATGGATTTGAGTGAAAAACAAACATGGATATCTTTGTCCCTGAAGGAGATTTCAGAGAAAGAAGGCAGTCTTTATCTACTCTTTTTGCTTCAAATCTGGATTAAAAGTGGCTGCTAGACATGGGAACTGCTTCCTAGTAACCCTTACTTCTCCCCTTCCTAAGACCATTAATGTAACATTGTATCTTTGTAGTGTGCTCTCCTGCACGCTTGCGCTCTCTCTCTCTCTCTCTCTCTCTCTCTCTCTCTCTCTCTCTCTCTCTCTCTCTTCTCTCTCTCTCTCTCTCTCTCTCTCTCTCTCCCTCTCCCTCTCCCTCTCTCTCTCTCTCTCTCCCTCTCTCTCTCTCTCTCCTCTCTCCCTCTCTCTCTCTCTCCCTCCCTCTCTCTCCCTCTCCCTCTCCCTCCCTCTCCCTCTCCCTCTCTCTCCCTCTCCCTCTCTCCCTCTCTCCTTCTCTCTCTCTTTCTCTCTCTCTCTCTCTCTCTCTCTCTCTCTCTTCTCTCTCTCTCTCTCTCTCTCTCTCTCCCTCTCTCTCTCCCCCTCTCTCCCCTCCTCTCTCTCTCTCCCCCTCCCTCTCCCTCTCCCCCCAACTCAGCAGTTTTTTTCTTATGGCTTGAAAATACTGTTGAATTGTGCTGAGAATTTTATTTGGAAGGTTAAATATCACCTTGAAAGCTAAATGACATGAGTCAAGTACCATATGATTAGGTAAATGTTTCCTTTTACCCAAGGGAAAAGCTAGTTAAACTCACTCCATTTGTCAGTTTTTTCCTAATTGGAATTATGAATATAAGAATAGCCATACTAGGTCAGACTAGTATGAATCTGCTTAGCCCAGTATTCTGTTGCTAACAGTAACTACAGAAGGACAGAAGTGCTTCCCCTATTGATAACTTTAAAAATTAGCTATGAAGATTCTTGTAGGTATTTATGGGTTGGCATTCATTAATATGTGCAAACCCTTTTTTAATGCATTTAAATTTAGCATAAATATTATTTTAGACAGATACATTTATCCATTACTAGATTAGCTCTCCTTGTTAATAGGGATTACTTTATTTATCGTTGTATACTTCTCAGTGCTTAATTTTAGTGCCTGGAGTGTAGTAGATATTCATGTTTGTTGAATGAATAATGGTAAATTAGTGGGTTTTTGTCTTTGTCTTCAACTTGCTTCACTCCCACTTTCAAAGATATCCTTTTGTACTGTCATCCTAGTATTGCTGGATTTAATGTACAAGTCTATGCTTACTTTATCCAGTCATTTTAAGATTCTTTAGCTTTCTATCTCATCCTTTCATAACCTTTTAATTTTGTACATTGAAGAACTCCTATCCTTTTAGTCTTTCTCCATACAACAGTTCTACTTTTCCCTCCAACTCCCACTCCCCACCCCAAATCCTCTGTTTATTTTAGTTGTCCTTCCTTGGATCTTCCTTGGCCTGTCTAATTACCACAACTCAAGAAATACATAATGGAATGAGAGCACTACACACAATAGGCCTGGTGTGGATACACTAGTTTTATAAAGGTAGGATAATTTTTTTTTCTGTATTTTCAACCTTTTTAGAATGCTCGACTTTTTTGTCAACCCTCACTAGACAATTTACAAGGACTCTCTAGGTCCCTTCTCTGGGTGTTTGCTAAGAACCCACTATTTTTATACCATTTATTTTGATCTATTTCCCTTAAATTTTCGTTAGTGTATTCCATTCTTTTGGTACCTTGTTAGAAGAGTTTGTTATCTGAAAATTTGGCAACTTCACTGCACACTTAACATTTATTAAAAATAGCTACAACGTACTAATAATTCTTAAGGAACCCCCACTGTTTTTTTCTTTTCAGTGCAAGTAAATAACACCACGTTCCTTTTTTTTGCTTTTCCCTTTCTCTAATCTAGTTTTCTAGCCATAATACAAAGGTCTCTAGCTTCTGGTATAGAACATTTCAAAGTTACTTTGAACTAATTGACTTTTATAGGTTCTCTTTTACCTCAATATGCTTTTTTAACTACCTCAGATAATAGTAAACTTTTCAGGCATTGTTTCCCTTTGCACAAAACAACAATAACAGCAAAAATTGTGGGATTTTCCTCAATTGTTTTTGTTTGATAATTCTGTCTTTTAGTGTATAAAGTCTGCCAGCTGCCTAGACTACTCCAGACTCACCTGTCTGTAATTCCCCTGAGCACTATTAGCTCCCTTTCTTGTGAACAAGGGTCACATTTGTTGTCTGCCACTTCTGACCTTGTTAATTAAAGGTGTTGGAGTACCACTTTCTAGTATACTTAATGCTTTTAAGTAGTTTTGTTTTGCAAGACAAACTATATACCTAAAAATAGAGTGGTAATTTTAGCTTAATCTAACAATATTTTCATGTGCTTTATTTAGATGCTTATGCTGAGAATATCCCAGGTTTTAAGCCTTACATTTTTTTTCCTGAGCGTATTAGATCAATACTATTACCTGCTTGAACTTGGTATCATTTTAGATTTCTAAAAAGACTTATTCTTTGTTATGTATTTTATCCAGACAGTATTTAATAATAAAGTGTTGAGCAGATTATTGAACCACACAATGTTAGTGCTAGGAAGAAACTGAGAAATCATCTAGACCAGTGGTGTCAAACTCAAAATAGAAATGGCCTGCAGGCTGCATATTGACTTAGAAAACCACAAATTAATGTTCTGTGTTGTATTTTTATTTTGTTAAATATTTCCCAATTATGTTTTAATCTTGTGCTGACTGAGGAGTTTTGAGGGCTGAGTTTGACACTTCTGATCTAGTCCATCCCCTTCTTTTTGTGGATGAGGAAACTGAAGTCAGGAAAGTGACTTGCCCAAAGTCACAAAGTGGCCCATTTGGAGTTAGAATCAAGTCTACTGACCTGATCAATCAAGTATTGTTAATTTTGTTTTTAGTATTTATCTTTTGTGAGCCATTTTGCATTTTGACTTTTATGGATTTATTTAATTCCTAGTTCACTGATAAAAAGCAAAATAAGGGCAATTACATTTTTAATTAATTAAAAAGAGATTTTGAGTTGGAAGGGACTTTAGAGGTCAGTCATCTATTTTAATCCCCTCATTTCACAGAGGAAGAAACTGAGAATGAAAGAGAGGATGATTTGCCCAGTCACAGGTAGTTCAAATACAGATTCTCAGATTTCAAATTCAGTATCCTTTTCCACTGTACTATACTACCCCTAGTTTTATTGTTTCAAGATGTCTTTTTACCTGCCAAGGTAAAAATGTTTTAAAATAATTTATTTTAATATGTAGGTATAATTTCAATAAACATTAAATGTCTACTTTTACAAGGTACTCTGCTAAATAGATTTAATTTTGGGGTCTTTTTGTTTGCCCACCAAATGATTTGTTGTCAAGTTAAACCAACCTTTGCAAATATGCAGTTAAGTAAAATTTAGTCTGGTTAGAATTCTTAGCAGTGCTCTAGGGAGTGGAGGTCACAAGCTTTATTACTAACTTCCAAGATTCTTACCAGGAATCTGACAGTGATAAAGCTAAGGACTTTAAATATCTTCCCTTTAAATTGATTTGAATGACAGAATTTTTTTTTCTGGGTAAATTTATTACAAAAAACGTCAAAATGAGAAGTAAGAAGGAAAAGTAGGATTACTTATTGTTCTTTCACTTTAATTGCATAAATATATATTTAATTCCAAAGTAATAAACTGACATCAGGGATGTGCCCTACTTTACCTGTGAAAAAGCAGTCTTTTGCTTTATTTTATTTTATTTTACGCATGTAAAGCAAGGAACTAATTTATACTTAGGCAGTAAGTGTACAATACTTTTATAACATTCATTATAGAAATACAACTCCAGTTTAGGGTTTGTGAAGTGCTTTGTGCCTGTGGCAACTCCATTGAACCTAGAACCTGTTTATGAATGGGGTTTAAAAGCAAATTTATTAAAATGTAAGACAATTAATGCAGCTGTTGCCCAAGAACAACTGCACTAGCTGAAAGCTAATCTAATAACTAATAGAACTGCAGTCTTCATAAGCAGTGAGAAGAAAAATTTGCTTTATAACAAGATTTACAGACTTTTAGCATATTTTCAATATAAAGGCTAAAAACATTGAGGACTTGCACATGTAAAATGCTTAGTCTAATTGTGGAGATACGAAAAATATGAGTAAAATTATCACAACTTACACATCAGAATTTATGTTGTCCTTCAAAACATTCAGCATGAAAGATAATAAACTTAATTAAATGATGCTACCATTATTTGAAAAAAAATTTTTTTTAAATTTCTCTTAGGTTTGCCATGCAAGCAAATTAGTTTTGTCACTTTATTCATACCTCATAAAATCATAAACTAAAACTATCATCATCCATTTTATTCATTAGATTTAGCTCTGATTTCTGACTTTTCAAAATGTGTTTAGTATACTAAACAATACCTTGACCCCTTCTAACCTTGCTGTAGTTACATGTATGCACCAAACACAGACTCAAATTGTTAAAGGCAATATTGTATATTTAATTTGATCTTAAAATTTAGGAAACTGCTCGAAGTTTTATATTTTCTACAATAATAAGTGTAATAAAAACACAAGTTACCCAATTAAGGGTATAATGTGAAGGCCTTTTCCTAGTTTTCCTGAAAGGGATGAAGGTTTGTGATATTTTCTCTTTGCTTAGTATTGT